CCCGATTTCTACTGAGGGGACGGGGGGGGGGTCTGTACATGGCAGGTTGCATATGCTTTTATGTGCATCATAACTTAATTGTACTGTATACGGATCCTTGAGTTTTAACATACGATTTTCAATTGTCTAGATAGCCGGCATTTTAATGTTATTAACTTTATTTATTATATCGATCACACATCCGACTCATCAAAAACTCTAAACTTTAGCACGTGACTGTCTTATGGTTCAGACCACTGACTATGCAGAATTTAATGTAGTCTAAAACCCAAGAGCACGCTATTTTAAGCAATGAAACACATCGCATTCAGTTACTCTTTAGTAAAACCACTCAACGTGATGACCTTTGATCGAACCGTTTTTTGTTAGTTGCATTTTAATTTTAAAAATGTTTCAGATTTTCTTGAGCTGTTAGAAACTTTTAATTGAAAAGATAATTCAATTCTGCCCCTTTTCGACATTCTTTGCCATTACATTTAACGCGGTTATTTTCCTGACTGCTCCATGTCTGCTGACCGACCTCTACCAGGAAATGGGCAAAAGCGTGACATGCCTAACTTTCCCGTGACAGCAATGCTTATTTACATCACGCGACAATGGTCATTTTCCCTAGGGTGCAATAGAGTTGTTTCACTTTTCTCCTAGCAAGTCGTGGCAACAAGATGGATTCTTTATTGAGAAGTTTTAATCGAAAGAAGATCGTTGATCCAAGCACATTAACCAGCACAGAACTAAACCGCTGTTTATCAATATTTGACCTAACTGTGCTCGGCATCGGAAGCACTTTAGGTGCAGGGATATATGTTTTAGCCGGAGACGTCGCGAGACATGACACCGGTCCAAGTATAGTTCTCTCATTTTTAATCGCTGGTATCGCCTCGATTCTTTCCGGGTTGTGCTACGGCGAATTCGGTGCCCGCGTCCCCAAAGCCGGCTCAGCGTATGTGTACAGTTACGTTACAATCGGCGAACTGTGCGCTTTTGTGATCGGCTGGAACTTACTTCTAGAATATGTGATCGGAACATCGTCAGTCGCTAGAGCCTGGAGCTCGTATTTTGATTCCCTCTTTGATGGTGCAATTAAGAACTTTACGATCTCAACGATCGGAGAAATGCACGCTTCAGGCATTGCAGAATACCCCGATGTTCTATCAGTTCTTGTGGTTCTAATTTTGACTACCGTTTTAGTTGTGGGAATCAAGAAAACTTCATGGTTCAATACGTTGTTCACTGGCATTAATTTATTCGTTATTCTGTTTATAATATGTGTGGGTGCATTTTACGCCCGACCCAAGAACTGGTCGAGCAGTTTTATGCCTTACGGAATGTCTGGTGTGATGGCTGGGGCAGCCAGTTGCTTCTATGCCTTTGTTGGCTTTGATGTGATTGCAACCACCGGAGAGGAAGCAAGGAACCCCAGTAGAGCTATCCCCATCTCTATCGTTCTCTCTCTTGGTAAGTAACTATACTGAATTGTGATAAATGCATTTTTTATCTTGCAGATCTTCTTGTCATGTACATATATAGTAGTTTTAAGCAAGATTTCTTAAAATGAATGACCTTTTTGCAGGGTGGGACAATGTATATGGCTTTGACATGAGTTGCATCAGAAACGTGGCCTTAACTGAACCGTTAGTTGATGTAGTGGAGGCAAAACAAGTGGTCACTAACTCATGTGTAGTGAAGGTAAGGCTAATGCACGTAGTAGGTGACACCCACATGTTCAAGTATATGTAAGGGGCTACTATACATGTACAGTGTAGGTACCATATGTGTATGATGTTTTTTGATGGTATTGCAAATAGGTTTACTTTTTCTTGCAACACTCGAAAGAGTGTTACGAAACATTCATTGTACATATAGGATATGCATACAAAGATGTATATATAACAAAAATAAGGTCCAGTGAAGCATAATAATATTATTTTCTTAACTACAGCTGTATATGTACCTTCAGGGTTTTGGATAATATATACAGCGCTAGCTGTACCTGTAGTCTGTATTTGTGATGTAGACTTCAGTACTTTGCTACATAGCCACTACAAGTACATTGTATGACCAAGCTTGAATACTTAATTTTTGTAATAAATGTAATTGAAAAGGAATTTTTTTTCTGCAACAGGAAATTGACCTGCATACAGTGAAGAAGGAAGACCTATCATTCAGTTCCCCTTTCCAGCTGTACTGTCGACGAAATGACTACATCCATGCTCTTGTTGCTTTCTTTACTATTGAGTTTACACACTGCCACAAAAGAACGGGATTCTCTACTGGTAAATCATCTTCTGTATACAAAATGTCTGGGGCCATTTTTCATGCATAAAGTTACACTTTACCTTCATGTTATATAGCACAGTGATAACTAAAATGTAGCGTGACTTCTTGCATCGAGAAAAATGTATTTTTTGATGCAACAGGTTACTCTAATTTTCCTGGTACAACAGGTCACACTTCATTTTCAAATTATGCAGCACGCTGAGGGCCACAGTTACCTCTTTTTATTTTGCCAAATTTCTTTTGACTAGAAAAAAAAATAGAGTGATAAAAATTAATGACAAGCAAAGACAAGAGTATAATAGACTCTTTTTGTTTGAGAACTTGAATCAAACAGTATTTTTGTATCCCACCTTCAGAATTATTGTTTTTCTTACAGACATTATGGACTTATGAAGTGCTTACATGGTGTTTCAGTTTCTATGGAAACAGAAAAATAGTTGTTTGGTGCAGTCACACCCTGTGCATGACTTCAAGAGTTCAATATTAATGTTAGTGTTTTATTATAGCTCCTGACTGCCACTATACCCACTGGAAGCAAACTGTATTCTATCTTCACGACTACCTGACTGTCAAATATGGGGAAGAATTAATAGGAGAATTCAAAATGAAACCTAACCCAAGAAATAATGTAAGTACATGAATACACATCTTTGTCACTGCTGGTCCTGTTTTTAATGCACTTCCATATCTCAGTGTATTCCAATGAAGACAAAATTATTTCTTTATTATTTTCTTTAGTTTTTAATGCACTTCCATATCTCAGTGTATTCCAATGAAGACAAAATTATTTCTTTATTATTTTCTCATGAACTAAGGAGTCATCTAATTTGAACCCCAGGAGGGCTGGGTACAAGTCTGTTTATTGTGGGATAAACAAAATGAGACCCTCGGCTTGAAATTAGGCAATAATGTTATATTGTCAGGGTTCGCACACACCTTGTAGGTCCTTGAAGGTCCTTGAATTTTAAGATAAAAATTCAAGGCCTTGAAAGTCCTTGAAAATTGCAGTCAGTGCTGGTAAGTCCTTGAATTTTAATGCTAAGTTTATACTTAAAAGAAAAAGGAGCAACAGAGAAAGACTTTCGGGATAAAATTACTCACATGTGGATGAACTAAAAAAGACATGGATTCAAGGCTCTTTTTTTGCACTGAATGTGTGATTAGGAGCAAAGATGAAATATGCCATGGAGTCCTTGAAAAGTGGCAAATGTGTCCTTGAAGTTTTTGTTCAAAAAAGGGGAGTGAACCCTGTATTGTTATTGAGAGACTTTTCTTGAAATCTGATTTCAGCGTGATCTGGATTTTAACATCAGTGTGGACTTCAGTGGCGAGCTCTGTAACTATCAATCTACAGCTAACTACAGAATGCGATAGTCGGGTTTAGAAATTAATTGTACTTGTAGATGTACAGTAACAAGAGGCTAGCTATTGATAAGAGGGTGCTGCAGGCTGGCATCAATTTGCGGTTACACAACTATAGGCTAGAAGAGTTATAAGATTTAAGTCAGTGAGATGAGTAGTAAGTAAGGTAAGGGGAAGACAGAATGTACTCCCTCCTTGGGAAGTCCTCCTCTTCTGCTCCTTTGCCAACAGCATCAACTTCACTCCTTGTTTTGTAAAAAAAAAATAAATTCAACCCTTGTTACAGCGTGATAGAGAAAACAGTAACTTAAAGCTAATTCAATTCAAACAAACGTGCCATCATACTGAGCTAAATTATTATTTTACTTTGTACTGCCAAAAAATATCACCCACTGTGAAAATTAATTTTATAATAATAAGCCAACGATAGCCTGCATTGCAGCCAGCCCACACACTCGTCTAAACGATATTAATATAGTCGAACACGATATCGTGCACCAGGGGCAGATCTAGGGGGAGGGTGGAGGGGGTGCACATGCACCCCCCCCCCTCTGAGATGACCTGCGGTTTTCTAATACAACTGGTATTCTGAAAAAAAAAGCTATGTGGTTTATTGGTGTTGGAGTAGAGCAAGAGACGAGTGCACCCCCTCCTAAAAAAAATCCTGGATCCGCCCCTGTGCACTAATTTGCAGACACTCTATACAGAAGGTTTAAAGCGTCTGCATCGCAGGCAAGCCAACAAACATGCTGAAACAGTTCTGATAAAAATTAATATTGGTTTGTTCTAAAAGGGTTTGTTATGATTTCCTCTTGGAGTAAAAAAGTAAAATCTCCTCGCACAGTGGAACAATTAACACTAAAACAAACTAAGTCATGTATGTTTCAGTTAGAGAGAAGCCTCTTTTCTTTTGCTTCGTAATATTATGTTTATTCTTGAAGAGGTGGTTGAAACAGATTCAAAGGAAACAAAAGTCTTCCACTACAAATAAAATGTAGCCCTGAATTTAACCTATACGTATTGAAGTGCACTGTTCGAGGCTCGACAGGAACATTTCGTTAGGTTGTCAGGGCTACATTTTCTTTGTTGTGGAGGGCCAAAGTTTTGTTTCCTGTGAAGTTGTTTCTTTGTGGTTGAATTCTGAAAGCCACACTTGTTGAATTTGGCACACCGTAGTAAAAGGGGAAATATATTTAAGAAATGAGACTCTATTCTCCAAATAACATCCTTAAACATAAGGTGCTGTATAATTTTGCGATCCAGTTTCATGTATCATATTGGCAGTACAGTATTTCTTCGCTTCTTACATGTGCGCACCATTTAGGTATAGCCTGCCTTGATAAGGAACAATTACTACCCAAGATGTGTANAGGAGTGAAAACCTCTTCAACTCCTAACCCAAGTTGGGAGAGCTTACTCTTAGGTCTACTCTTCATTCCTTAACGGGGCTTTGTCACGCTTTTTGCTATCTTTGTGAAAAGCTCAGACTAAACGTGTTCTTGCATCAGCTGAATTCCTAAAATAACGGTCCAGTGTTGTCATTTAAGACTCTATTTAGGCGTCGAAACTGTTTCCTGTTATCTGTTACTAAGAATAGCAAGGATGCAGATGGATTAAACCTTGAAAAATTTGGGCCAACTTTTTCAAGTTTTAGTGATGCTCTGCCTGCAAAAATAAACAAAAAAATCATTAGGGTCAGTGCTGCTGATAAAATTTGTGATATCTTCTTTATAATTCTACAGGCAGGAGAATTTTATGTACGGGAAAATGCTTTATGACTTAAAACAGCAATATCCTCGTGACGTAGCTCCTTTAACGTTCCTCGCTTAGGTTGTGCGCAACTCCCAGCGAGCTTGTGATGTTGCTTCAAAACAAATGGCCATGCGTTAAATGCAGTTAGCCCAATGCGTTATAACGTTTTCTAAAACCCCGCGACGTATGTAACTAGTTCATTTTATTGTTTTATAGAAATTATTTTGGGATAAGAAGATCCGCTAGATATGTACCTAAGTTTTCGATGTATGATACTGCAATTCTTGTTAATTATTTTATTCACTTGTAGTTTCATAGACCCATGTGAATACTGCTATTGTCTATTAAATGCTGAAACGTTCTGTGCAAAAAAAAAAAAGAACCCAAAAGTTTTGAGAATATAACGTGTTATATCTTACCAAGAGAAGAGATCTTGCATATTTATTTGTTTTATTATTGTGTGTTCTCTTTTACATATTTTTAAGTGTTGTAGTATCAAACCATGGTGCTGCGGAAAAAAACCACACAGCCTAGTGCCTAGCCTCCCACGCAAACGTTCTAAGGAGTTCGTCACGCGTTCCTGCCCCTAAGAACGTCTGCGTGGGAGGCTACCTAGTGCCTGAATTACGCCATGTCCTGGATGCTGGGACGACCGTAAAATAGGGCTATCTTAGTGCTGTTTCTTACGACTTCTTCCCCCCTGGATACCCCTATAACTCGTTCTCCTTAATGATAGAATTTATTTCACTACTTTAGGCGTTTTTAGGGGAGCTCGTATTTCTTTCCTTTCCACAAACGCCTGCTTGGCTTGTTTACAGACCCCCCCTCCCCTCCCGATTTCTACTGAGGGGACGGGGGGGGGGTCTGTACATGGCAGGTTGCATATGCTTTTATGTGCATCATAACTTAATTGTACTGTATACGGATCCTTGAGTTTTAACATACGATTTTCAATTGTCTAGATAGCCGGCATTTTAATGTTATTAACTTTATTTATTATATCGATCACACATCCGACTCATCAAAAACTCTAAACTTTAGCACGTGACTGTCTTATGGTTCAGACCACTGACTATGCAGAATTTAATGTAGTCTAAAACCCAAGAGCACGCTATTTTAAGCAATGAAACACATCGCATTCAGTTACTCTTTAGTAAAACCACTCAACGTGATGACCTTTGATCGAACCGTTTTTTGTTAGTTGCATTTTAATTTTAAAAATGTTTCAGATTTTCTTGAGCTGTTAGAAACTTTTAATTGAAAAGATAATTCAATTCTGC